TTAGGCGTCTTGAAGAAGTGGATTCAAGATCGTCCTGTTATCTCCCTGAAGAGAAACTATGTGAGAAGCATTTTGTGAAGAACACAACCCGTCTTACTGACAGTATATTTGCGTTTATTCCCATCAAACAAAATCCTGATGTTTTAGATGAATCGTTTGAAAGAGCTAAGGAACGTTTTTTGTGTTTGGAGCGTAAACTAAAATATAAGCCGGAACTAAGTATAAAAACATAAGATCGTTACACATTTTGTATTACGATTTTATGTTTGAATATCAATCTTTAGGACGTATTTCTGAATGCCAACAGTGCAGTATAGTGAAATTGTAAACAAGCTTTATTTCAACCCCCACTATGACGATTTGCGCGAGAGTAGCATGATTACAAAACTAAGAGTTAAGTTTAAGTAATGCTTAGTGCTAATGTTTAGTGAGCCAACTTCATCAGATGTTTCACTGAACAGTATCCAGATGACAGACCTTACTGTTTAAGATGACCTTCTGTCTATACTTCTCCGATTTTGGTCCTTAACTGCCGATCATGAGAAAATGTATAGACAGATCGTCGTACACCCCATGGACAGGCACTTGCAGCTCATAATATGGCATCATGACTCATCTAAGCGGGTGAAAATGTATCAGTTAAAATCTGTGACGTAGGGAACGACTGGTGGGTCCTTTTTTAGGGTTCCGTAGTCAACTAGTAACCCTTAAGTTTCGCCATATCTGTGTCCGTATGTCCGTTCTCGCTTAATCTCTGTGACCTTTAGCACTAGAAAGCTGAAATTTGGTACCAATATGTGTATCAATCACGCCGACAAAGTGATAAAATAAAAATTGGAAAAAATGTTTTATTAGTATGTTTTATTAGGTAGCCCCCCTATATGTAAAGTTGGAAGTGATTTTTTTTTAAATTTCAAACCCTAACGTGTGATATATTTTGTTGAAAGGTATTTAAAAATGAATAGGGGTTTACTGAAATCATTTTTTGATAATGTCAATAATTTCGAAAATAATCGCTCCAAAAGTAAAAAACAATGTGTCCCCCCTCTAACTTTTGAACCATAAGTTTAGAAAATATGAAAAAAAATCTGAAAAGTAGAACTTTATAAGGACTTTCTAGGAAAATCGTATTGAACTTGGATGGAAACAACAGTTTTTGTACAAACTCATAAGTGGGAACACTTTTTGTGACATACGGGAATCTACGGAACCCTACGCTGAGCGTGGCCCGACACGCCCTTGGCCGGTTTTTTGCTACTCGAGTGTATAAAGCAAATAAGTCTCGAGTGTAAGGACAAAATCATATCAGAGATTATTTTACACGATTTCTACGTCGACGACTTATTGAAAGGAACTCGAAAACGTTCATTAAAGAAAGGTAATATCCAAACTTGCTTCCGCGTGTATGTCATTCAGAAAGTGGAGGTCAAATTGCAAAGACTTGGTTCCCGAACAATCTTAAACATCGTTAGATTTATGGGGTGTCAGTATGTTATAAGGCTACATGATTGATATTCCAATATGGACCATCGATTTCAAAGCCCATATTTTTTTTTGTAGATAGTACTCACTAAAAGAAAGCGTTTTGCAAAGTTTTAGGTTGCGGAAACTTACGGTTCATGAGATATATTTTTTTAAACTTTTCATACAAATTGGTAAATAACATGCGATTACAAAATAAATTTGACAAATGATTGATGTCAAACGTCAGTTAGTGTAGGGTTCCGAATATTTTGAAAGTATCGATACCTACTCGATACCAAGTATCGTATCAAAAGTATAGATATAGATATAGATACTACTTGGTATCAAGTACATTTCGTTAATTTTGGAGACGAAAAATTATGACAAACCTATTAGATGCATAGGAAGAGCTGATAAGTGCAATTATATATGTATATAAAGTAGAATAAAGTTTTTATTCTATTTAAGTTCCACCTTAGTATTTGTATTTCATTGTTTGCAACTTGTTTGTATTTCTTAATTAGTACAGCTTTTGTACTTTTATTTTATTGTTTGCAGCTTTCTGTATTATCTAATTCTTACTACAATAAAGTGTTTACTTACATATTGACTTACTTATTTAATATCCAAAAAGTACCCAAAACCGAATCAGAGCACCCCACTATCCACGTGGTCTTGTTTGCCCTACCCCTAGAGTGTATATAAGAGCCCGGAGGTGCGGAGGGAGAGAAGTGCCCGCCCGCCGTAGGGAAGCGCAGGACCGAGATCGTAGCGGCTGGGTTGCGAAGGCGCGAAGCTCGAAGGCGCCTGTGCTTCCCTACGCTAGGGCGGAGGCACTGCTCATCCCGCAGCGCCGGAGCGGGCGGAGACAACTTCCCGGCTTCTTACCCCCCTAGTCTCCAAAATTAACGAAATGTACTCGATACCAAGTAGTATTGATACTTTTGATACGATACTTGGTATCGAGTACGTATCGATACTTTCAAAATATTCGGAACTCTTCGCTAATACGTTTGACATCAATCATTTGTCAAATTTATTTTATAATTGGTGTAATTGCGTGTTATTTGCCAATTTGTATGAAAAGTTTAAAAAATATATCTCATGAACCGTAAGTTTCCGCAACCTAAAACTTTGCAAAACGCTTTATTTTAGTGAGTACTATCTACAAAAAAAATATGGGCTTCGAAATCGATGCGTCATAAGAATGACAATACTGCTACAAAAATTATGGTTAACATGGGATACGCAATTAACACCAATGATAAGTAAACAATGGGCAGAATTAATTAGTGATTTACCTTTGCTCAATAATCTTAGTATTCCTCGTGGTGTCATTTGTGGCTCATGTAAGTCAATTGAACTTCACATTTTCTGTGATGCGTCTGAGCAGACTTACGGCGCTTGTGTGTATGTTTGCAGTATAAACGATAAAGGAGGTATTTCTGTGCATTTGTTGATAGCTAGAAGTCGTGTTGCTCCCATTAAGCCTACGACAATTTCGAGATTTGAGCTTTGTAGCGCTCTCACAAGTGCGCGACTTTATGAAAAAATAGTCACTTCACTTTGGATGCAAATTAGTCGTACTATTTTTGGATCGACTTGACTAAAGTATTGCGACGGTTAAAATGCTACCCGCTAAGCTTCAGCCATTTGTGCCCAACCGTGTAGCGGAGATATTAGAAAAATCAGGAAATTGTATTTGGAGGCGTGTACCGCGACTGGTGACAACCTCGCAGACCTTTTGTCTCGTGGAGTTGACAGTGAAACGTTGCAGCATCTACATCTGTGGTTCAAGGTATCTTAAACAAGATATATTCAATAGCCTTCACAACCAAAAAATGTCACTTTGCTACCCGAGCTCAAACTGGAAGTCACACTAAATGCTACTGACAATGAATATAAAATATTTCGAATTAATTGAATTTAATCGGTTTTCCAATTTTTTAAGAATTAAATGCACGCCAGCTTATATTTTACGTTTCATTAAGATACGTATGTACAAAGGGAGTCATTTCTAGAGTGTAGCATGCTCCTTAAGAGAATCTTTAATGGATCTTTGCCCAAAAAAGACCTTTATATAAGTTCAGAGCATTTTTAGATCATCCATCATCAAGCTACAGTGAGATTTGTATGTTTTACGTTTTATTAAGATATGTAGAAAACAGATTCTTTCTTCTAAATATTTAACCGAGTGTAAACAACAAGAGACACGTTGAATGCTATTATTAGGAACGTACAAAGGGAGTCATTTCTAGGATACTTCTTAAGGGATTATCTTTGCCCAAAAAACTTCATTGTATAAGTTCTCAGTATTTTTAGATCAAAATAATATCATGCGAGTAGGAGGTCACTTATACGATTCAAATTTTTCTCATGATAAGAAACACCCTATTTTATTATAGTCCACACACCGTTTTATTCGATTGTTATTCGACTACCAAAATAAGAATTAAATGCACGCGGGACCCCAATTTCTATAAGACACAATAAGATAATCGTATTAGCAAATTGGTGGTCAAAGCCTGGCGAGGAGTTGATACCATCAATGCGTCCTTTTTATGTATGTAAGGTCATAGCGCCATTTATGGGTAATGTACCACAGCACCGTATTCAGCCTGGAGGCTGTCCCTTTGAAAATGTAGGGGTAGACTGTGCAGGTGCCGGTTCAGCGACGAACGAAATGGCGTGTCAGTAATGATGACTTGAAATTAAATTCTCTCGTTGTCATGAAAGAAGACGATCTTCCTACATTGAAATGGAAGTTGAGCCGAATGGTTGCTGTTTATCCTGGACCTTACAACATCAGTCGTGTGGCATATATCAATACGTCTGCAGAACTAATTCGATTGAGGATCGTTCAGAAAGATTTGTCCGCTCCCTGTGCTAGTTGAAAGACGCGGAGGCATGTTGATGCCTTAACCTAATGCATTTATTAGTAAACATGCACCTCAGATAGTAATAGTTTTTAATTATATAATTCTATGTATGTACTGTACTAATTCATTGTATCTTTGTTTCTCGCATTATAATATAGTCTTTTACCGGATCAATCTCTTTTATGATTTCAAAATTTGGGATAATCCTCCACAGTGGTCAGTTCAACAAAATGAGAATTTCATAGACAAAGACCCAATTTTCTACTATTACGAAAAAACGTTGTAATGTACACTTGATAGTATCTTTTATTTGTTGGTATGAGTCCGAGAGAGTCAGAGAAAGCGTTCTATCTTTCTTTGTTGGTCTTAGTTTGTAAGATACTTTGCCTGAAATTTTATTAAAAGTTTTTGTTAAATAAAGTCTACTTTTTCTTATTATTCGTCTTGGCCATATTTTGAACAGAGCTTTAAGGTTCAAATCTTATAACTTACTTTAGCAAGTATCTACTTTGTAGTTAATATTGACAATAAACTTAACGAAAAATAGCGAAACAAATAAAACCACGTATATTAAAAATTATTTAAAAAATATTTTATTTAACAAAAAAGGGTTACAAAATAAATTATACTTAAAGTTATAATTCTGTCAGCTGGCACTTAGTAAATGAAAATTTGTACAGCTATACACATAAGCATTACGATAATACTGCTTTTGAACAAAATCGCTGAGCTCGGCTCCTCACATTCATCGTTCTGTTCAACTTGTATAAAATAGGGTTGGTGCAGTTCCTCCCTCATCCCCATGTAGGTGTTGATGGCAGTATTTCCTGCTTCTGGCATGGTCCTTGTGCGACTGAGCTTCCATACTCCGACTGTAAAAGATATTATTTTAGTATGAAATATCATTGCGTGGCAAGCATGATTACTGACATATTCTTGAAAAGAGAGATTTCTATGATTGACGTAATCATAGAAATTGGTTAATGAAGAAGAAGAAAAGAATGCGAAATTTTGAGGAACAATTCGCTTATTACTAGGTCCTCCAGACTGAATTTCGATCACGGCGATCAGACTCAACGAAGACTAGTCATCTGCGCATGAAGGTTGCTATTACTATGATCGCCAATCAGTCTGACAAGCGTGGAAACTATGGCAGCTTACCCCCTGTGAGTTAGTCTATGGGGAGGCATATGTCAGAGTGGTCTTTTGATTGGCTGTAATGATGATGATGATATTGAAACAATATTAATATAAAGGATGTAACTTACCAGATCTTTGGAACTGATTTATGTTAACGCAGCTGTACGCTAAAGAGTACGATACGTAGTCAGTCGTCAGTACGTACAGTCTGGTGGTGACCGTTGCTTCGGGATCTGGAATTTAGACAGTGCATAATAAGGAGATTTAGATATTGCATTTCTATTAATAAAAATGATACAAATAAACGTGAAAGATCAAGTATTTAAAATTATTTACAATAAAATGTATTCTTATCATAAAAGAAAGAAATGATCTGTGTAATAAACAAAATAAATGTAAATACACTGGAGTTTTGTTAATTCTAAAATAACAGTTAGCAAGTTACTTCTGCATCACCCTTTAATACTGGTACAAGTATAGAATTTTTTAGATCCTCGAGACCTAATTTCGATCGCGGCGGCAATTATAGTGCTCAAGGTACCTGCGCAAACACAGCTACACTTTTATAATCAGTTGTGACGGAAATCCGACATGACCGCAAAGATGAGCAAGATCAACGGCTGTATATGTTTCCCGACGCGTGCTACTGAGACTTTCTTGACAGAAACTACCTGAATAAAACTGACAAACTGACAAACGACAACTGATTCATGGAACGGACCCAACCCGGGATGATGGTACAACCCGAGATTCGAATCCAGCACCTCATAATCGGCAGCTACTTTTACGATCACTAAACTAACCACGTAGCCAATCAATTCTTCAGGTGTTAAGTCTATAGCAGCAAGAGTTCATAAATGCTTAACAAAGTCACAAACTCAGAGTAGATCTGCCCCACAGGAGATGAATTCTTATCCAGAAAAGAAGCTCCATCACTTGTAATAATGGCGAAGGAAATAAAATACAAAAATATTGTTATTCCGGTGTAATAATCTCGGGATGTCAAAAAAATTCATAAATTATGTGCCTCATTAAGAATATGGAACTTAATTTTTTATTTACATTTGGTTGTAATGTAATTGATATTATAGCACGAATAAGTCGGATTGAGCGGGGTAGCACCACGCTCTAACAGAATACCCGCATAAAACAGCAGTAATGCTGCTGTGTTTCGTATGGTGAGTGTAGAGAACCTGAGACCGTTTTTACTGGAAACGCGCCATTCTATCGAGTCTTAATCGGGAATAAATGTAGATGTCTATGGGCCACAACATCCACTTACCATCAGGTGGATTGTGTGCACTGTTGTCACCCTTATTCTATAAAAATATAGATTTCAATAAACGCTAGTGTAAACAATTTACGTTCCTTCCGTCCGAAAAAAGATCAGCATTTCCCTCTAGTGCGGTGGCTAGAGGGTATAATTTAAAAAAAATTACTTCAAAATCAATCCTTAAACCAAGAAGCGTCCAATAGAAAGAATTCGATAAAATTAACTAACCGTCACTTAACCTATCGGGCAAGGTCACAAGTAGCTTCGCACTGCCATCAATTGAGTCGATTGTAGCATTGCCCTCGATGGTATCAAGTTTATCGTCTATAACCTCCCAGTTGAGGAGAGTAACAACACCCGTGGCTTCATCTAAGGTGTAGCGGGCTCCAGTGCAGGAACCAGTCTCGTGGAATTGCGGGTATCGCTCAATTTGGTACCACGTACCAGTATACTGTTGAGGATATTAATTATTTAAAATAGGGTTTAAAATTCAAAATAAATTGTGTGCAAATGCGTGCAACACTCGTAATAAACTAAACGTTTACGAAGACAAGTTATTGACTAATTGCATGTTTATGATATGTAGGTCGTTGCTTGGCGGCTCAGGAGAATCACTCGTCGTCATTTTACCCCAGTGGTGTTGTAAAAAATACCATAGGAATACTTACTACAATGACCTTGCACTTATACTTTATGTTCAAAAGCAGATTTGAGATTTACGGGATTACGCCATAGGGACAATATTTGCTTTTGGAGCACTTGGTAGGTGAGTAGTCAACCCCAGTTTTTAATTATTTTCAGTTCTTATCGCGAACATACTGCTGCTCATATAAATTTCCTCTGTCACCCATGGCGACATTCACGGTATAATATGCGGTAATGTACTTTATTACGCTACCACTTTACGGTGCGAGGTTCTTGGCAAAATTTTGTTTACTCGTGTAACAATATCAATATTATGAAAATCCATAGTTCATGTTTTGTTCATGTTTATTTATAATAGCCACCCTATGAGTAAAATCCAAGCGGGAGGCCTATGTTCAGAAGTAGACTTGGGATGTGCTATAATTAATATTGAATGAAATACCCAAATCGGGTAAGCAATGTCAAAAACAAGGGTTGGTTGCAAATATTTCCTTTTCCTATTGAAAAGTCTGCGACCAGTAGTGGAATTATTACCGCCTTATAATGATGACAATGATGAAAAGTAAAAGTAGGATCGACACTATATAAGTTACGCACTTGGGTGGCATCGAAGTTTTGCACGACGGGTATGTCCATGTCGCACTGACCAGGTAGAATTATCTGTCGACCAGTCTGCTCTGGGTAGTGGAAGCAGGCGCTATCACTCTGGTCTACCGTTTGATAGAACTGAGGATAAAGGACGCTGTTGCTTGTGATGACAGGAGCCATGGCGTTCTGAGCTGCCTGTGACAGTTGACGAGACTTGCTGTGTTTGGCACTCCATACTAAAATAATACAATTATTAATGCAAACTGCACATAATTATTGCATTAACTATAGTAAAGACTAATAAATAGTAAGCTAAGAATACGTACCACGTCTGTATTCTTCGTTGATATTTTCGCACGAATACAGAAGAGAGTAAGTTTCATAGTCAGTTGCGAGTACCCAGATATCTGCAGACAAAACAAAGCGTTTTTAATGCTTGAAAATTTTTTATAAATTAGTTGCTATAATGATACCGTATCATGGCTCATAATCGCACCAGCGCATAGCGGAGGAATAAAAATCGTCTTTTTGAAGACGGAAGATGCTTTTTACTATAAAGAAGGCATTCACTTCAATCTTCACGGGTGAAAACACATCTGCATTTTCGGTATTAGGTGGTATGACTCCTTTTTAGCCTAGTAGTTCATCTGGGCTGGGTCTGACCAGTCTCTGACTTATTTCTGACACCAAATAGCAGTGCTTGCACTGCTGTGTTGTTGTTAGTCTGAGAGTAGCGAACTATTAGTACAATCTTTGTGCGGCATTCCATCTTAGTCCGCAGAGGTAACCACGCATCTGCGGCCTTTCTTGTTTAAAGTTAGCTGGATTCTAAGTTCGTTCGTTACTTTCAGTGTTATAAAAACCACAGGTTGATCTTGGTTTCTGTCTTCCACACCATTAACCTTATGATAACCATCAAGTACAGTCAACTTGATTATTAATCGAGGAGTATGACTCCGTTTATCCACCATAAGAAATCCCATGAAAATCCCAAACGAACCCATGAAAATCCCAAAATCCCAAAACGAACACGAGATTCCGAGTATCAACCCATGGGTTGATACTCGGAATCTCGTGTTCGTTTATCCACCCCAGACGGGGTGGATAATCTGAATTCGTATATTATTTTTCAACTGATTGTACCCCTCGGCTGTGTACAGTAGTTTATAAAAACATGACAGAAACTGGCCCATGATTACTAAGTAGACATTACCATACTTATAAAAATACATACACACTTCTTATTTAAAGGTCAAAACTGAAATACTTTTAATTGTTCAATTATATATCATTCATTGTGACATAATTTATGATGAGAAATATTTTGGAGTTATATTACGATGAAAGGAATATTCCACTTCAATTAACTTCAATTATATTTTATTGAAGTAGGTATTTAAATAAAATAAATATATTGTAAATTATATAAAAGCAGTATTGGAAATAGTGCGGTACTTAACAAATTTTAACATGTCTTATTCTTATTGAGAGACGAATTTATACAGGATATATAATTACATCAACTCAATAATGAAATTAGTTTTGGTAATTTCCTAGATATATTGCAGAATTTATAAATCACTTATTATTTTTTAAAACAGGGAAGTTTAATTTGGTTTAAATGCAATACGTAATATGATCAAATCAAATCGAATCAAATTTATTTATTTGCATAATACAGGTATAAGAGTTGTTACAAAAAATTAGAATATGTACACTGTATTGTTACCTTATGAGGTGTGCAAATACTCAACAATATAGTCTACGCATTACTAATTCAATAATGGTGCTTTGAAATAAAATTAAGAATAAGAAGAAAAACAAATATTGTCAATAGTTGAGTCTATAGTGCTAATTGTTGTCATATTAAATAGCTTGATGTTATATAAACTCGAAATTAAATATTTTTGATAATACGAACAATCAAATTCAAAATGTTATACAAAATTAAAAGTTAAATTATAATTTAATATACTAATCTTATTAAATTGTTACAATGTGTCACATATATTAGGTAAATGTATAAATTACTATTATTTAATTATAATTAAATTCAAATTATTATTATTAAGTTACAATTAAATTAAAACGACTGCTATTAAATTATAATACTTTTATCCTCTAGGTACTCTTTGACATTATAATAACATTTATTAATCAGAAATTTGTGTAACATCGTCTTAAATCGTGAGATACGCAACTTTCTGACATCATCTGGCAGTTTGTTGTGAATCAGTGATGCCATACAAAGAATACTTTTATTGAGTAGTGCTGTATCTCCATACGGTATTTCTATGTCTAATCTTTTTTTGTCGCGTAACTGTCTATAGTAGCTTTTAATAGCAGTCTTGTAAAAATTTGGATTTGATTTCACAAATAGATTTATTTCGTAGATATACATAGAAGGCAATGTCAAAACTTTTAAGTGTTTAAAGTATGATTGACAGCTTGTAGTATTATCTAGATGGCACATTGCTCTGATGCATTTCTTTTGAGCTTTGAATGCAGATTCTTTATTTACCGAGTTGCCCCAAAATATTACACCGTATCTTAGGATAGGTGCAACAAGTCCGTGATAGGCTAATAAAACGGCTTCTTTATTGACAACCTTGGAGAGTTTGTAAAGAGGAAACGAGAATTGATTAACTTTTTTGCAGACATTATCTAGATGTGTTTTCCATGATAGGTCATAGTCAATATTAATTCCTAGAAATTTTGTATTTGTCACTGGATGTACTGTATTGCCTTGGTAACTAACGTTTATAGTTATGGGTTGTGTTCTTTGATAAAAATGCATTATTTTTGTTTTGTCCATACTTATTTTAAGATTGTTTTTTAGGAACCATTGAATTATTGTATTTAATGTTTTATTGACTTCATTTTCGTAATTGTCTTCCCTATCACATCTTATCATTACTGTGCTATCATCTGCAAAAAGTACCATTGGATGTTCAATATGTCTAGGAAGGTCATTTATATATACCAGAAATAGTAAGGGACCAAGGACACTACCTTGTGGGACTCCGAATTTTATGCTTCTAGTGTTAGATCTATATTTGATTTCATTTCGTGTTTTCTGTCATATTTGTGTAATTTCTTTTATTTGTTTTCTATTGAACATATATGAAAAAATGAGGTCTAGCGCTTTACTTCTTATGCCATACAAGCTAAGTTTCTGAATAAGTATCTTATGGTCAACACGGTCAAAAGCCTTGTTCATATCCATAAAGACAGCACATATCGGATTTCTTTTATCCACACTGATTAAAATCGTTTTAATTAAGTCATAAATAGATTTGCCCTTGCGAAATCCTTTTTGTTCGTTTACCAAAATATTATATCCACTCGTATGTCGGGGTCATTTTGGACAATATGGCGCATCTGTCGAGTACTTCCCGAAGTACTTCCAGACTACTTCCTGCTGTTCATTAAAATGACTATTTCCAAGACATTTTGTATAAAAGGTATATTAAAATCATATATCAATGGAAACATTATTAAATAAGCTATCAGATTATGTATAACTTGAATACAGGTTTACTTCGAAAGTGATACTAATTTAAAAATGAAAGTAAGAAAAGTGTTTTTTCCCCAATTTTCTGCAAAGGTGTAATAATTATAAATTAAAGCCTTTATTCCAAGTACTATTTGTTTTACTTGTACATCGAAAGCATATTTAATTACATAAAAAAATTTCATAATTTTTTTGTTTACGACTAGGTCGAGAAAGGCCTCACTTAGCTCTACTCGACATCGGGATAAAAAATAAGGAGGTTCAATTAAAAAAAAAACACATTATTAAATCAAATTTAGACAAAATCAATCATGCAGATATATATGTTATATATATGTATGTTACATATATCATATATATGTTACAAATAGTTTGCTATCACTCGACGCCATATTATGGCGTTTGACAGATGCGCATATTATTTGAGACGCCAGAATACGGCGTTTGTACAGCCGAAGGGATATTTTCTAAATAACTGTATAGTCGACTATATATTACTTTTTTTAAATAATTTTGAAAAAATAGATATCAATGTTATCGGTCTACAGTTTCCCATATTTTTTGTCATCTTTTTTGTGGAGTGGAATAACAATAGAAGTTTTAAGTTTTTCGGGGTATATTCCGTTAGAAATGAATAAATTTATTATGTAGCATAAGTGAGCAGCGATTGACGGGGACACATACTTTATAACTTTAGTGCAAACACCATAGTAACCCACACTTTGAGTATTTTTCAGTTGTTTTATTTCTCTATCTACCTCCATAGGCATTGTAGGTACAAGAAAAACTGAATTTACGTTAGTATTAATTTTGGGATTTGAGTGTGTTACGTCGTTATTTTTTGATTTATTTTTATGCTCCCATGATGATTTATGGTTATAAAAAAAAGAAAAATATGTTAAAGTATGAATACATTTTATGTTGAACAGTAATTGGGGTAGATAGGTGGAACAACAATCAAAAAGTGAATTCCTATTATCACATATACACCCTGTCTGGGGTGGATAAACGAACGTTTCCGAGTATCTACACTAGGGTCAATTTCTTAGGGTGGATAAACAAAATAACCCATCGAGGAGAGATGTAGAAGTGACCTATACCGCAGCATTCATTTATTATTCCTACTGGCCGTATTTAGAAGCTCAACGTCGTTCAGCCAGCTATTGAGAGGCGTTGCTTAGAGTTTCTCTGCGTAATACGAATTCATAATTATTTTATTAAATTAAGCGATTTCACTTAGACAGAAGGTTATCGATTGATAAAAAAATTCACAGTTAGCTAATCTTCTTCTGACGTCAAAGGTTTCAGAGCTTATTTGGATCCAACTACAGCAGGTGCGTTGTCTGATACGCCACTTACATTACGATGCTGTAACAGTCTACATGTCTTCAGTCGAAAGAATAATATTTAGGTATTTACCGATAACGCGACCGTTGCTCAAAGTCTTTCTTAATCTGCCGTTGTTGGTCACAGTGAGTGTACTTGTGTTGACTTGGGCCGTTACGTCGAAGATATTGGTGTCGATGACCTGGTACTGGTTATTAGATACACGGAACTCGGAGCTGATGCATTCACCAAGATTTTCATCTGATGGATAACGTTCAATCTCGTGCCACCAACCCAAATACTGAAAATTAAAAATATCCATTATCAGCGAAATTCCTACGTCAGTTAAATTAGAGATGATGAAATATATTTAACATCTTGAGCAATATTTCTAGAAGGCGGTGGATCATTGTTAGTTTATAGAAGGAGAGGAAATATATTTTTTATGTTTTATACAACTATGAACAAGGCTAGAAAGACCTCATAGCCTCCGATAGTATCGATTTACTTTCTCCTATATGCGAGATGTATTATATTCGTTCAGAGATGGGGAGCAGCATAAAATAAGCGTGGTTAGTATTACGATAAGTTAGTCTGCTTGCTAAACGTTACGATTAATTTAGTCACAAAGACAGAAATATCTGATCTGATTTTTACCAGTATGTTATTGTAGATAATAAGTACAGAGCTCTCCATAGGCCCCTGTTATTTGGGATGCGCCTGAGTGATTTCATCACTCCATAATGCTAGTGGTCAATATCTAGCTCTTTTGCCGTTCAATACGCTCTTTATTATTGGTATTCTAAGCTCATTCCGGTCATTTTAAGACATGGTCGAAGAATTTAAGAATAGTCAAGTCAAGAGACAGTTACTGATATAAGCTTCCAAAATAGGGATAGCTATCCAAGGTACACATAGTACACGCCAGCGTCACAATCAAATGCCTCTATCCTTCTTTGCATGTTTGCATTTTTAGTCCGAGGTACCGTATAGTATAAAAACTATCAAGTGCTGTTTTACAGTTACATACCCTTTGAATATCGAATCCTTGAACACCTGTAATATTTTCACATTGTCCTGTAAATACTGGTGCTTGATCAGGGATAACTTCAGGTATGTAGAAGCAGGCTTCGTCAGATTGATCACTGGTTATGTAATATTCTTCTAGTAGACCTTGTGTATTACTTATGATGTTGTTCATTACGTTATTTGCCTCATTGCTGAGGGTCTGAGTTCTGCTAAGTTTCCAGCTGCTTACTGTTAGATGAAAGTAATTGATTACAGTCGACTCAATTTTTTTAATAGTTATTAAATTAAAAAGTAATATCAATGAAAAAAAAAGAAATAAAAGAGAATTTAATACCTTGTCTATTTCCATCGGGGAGATTTCGGCAACTATACACCAAGGCAAAGTTATCGTAGTCGGTTTCGAGAATGTAATAGTTGGCCACATTAACGACTGAAACAAAAAAGCTTGCTGATTTACTTGCGCTAGCAGATTTTCAACCATTTTGTTCAAACATCGTCTTTCTTTGTTTTCTTTTTTTCTTTGTTTCTTTTAAAGAATATTAACAATGATATAAACATTACTAATATTCCCCTTAACCACTCGTGGTAAGCTTAAATTGCTTGTGTTACGAGTGGTTCACGCCAGTAGTCGAGTGGCGGATTCGAACCCACGACCTTTTTAAGTTCGCTGTCCGCGCCCTGCCATTAGGCTACTGTCGCTTCATCATTGTCTACAGTTATATAGTGATTCTCGGTCTCTGTTTTAATACCTACGTGACCTTTAATAAAATTATCAGAGACGGTATATAACTACCGTAAATAGTCGCAGTGGTTTTCTTTTTTTTATGTACTATAACTATAACAGTAATATAAATTTTCCACAAGGATGTTGAATTTTTTTCGCAATTTCAATATTCAAGATTATTCAATATATTTAAATTAAGTGAGAAACTATGAATTACAATAATAATTCATTGTAATAACGAACTCTAATTTGAAGATTGTCAATATGCATATGAAATAAAAATTTTATGTTGTGATGGCTATTACATTTAGATTTAATATTATAGTTATACTTTATATGATACTCGTATTTGTATACAAATGTTTTTAATTTATTAAGGTATTTACTTAAATCAATAGAAGTTTAGTACTGACCTCCATTCTCTAATACAAATGTTACATTTAATATTCCACTTCCATCATTTGAAGCAACAAAGGCTGATCCGATCATTGTATCCAAGGTGCTGTTGATAACTTCTGTATTAACAACTTCAACAGTACCGTTGACGAGATTGTATTGCGCTCGACTACATTCTCCTATCTGATATAGTTGAGGATATCGAGCTATTTCGATCCATCTTCCCAAATACTATATATTTAGAAAAATCATATTAAAATTAAATCTTAAATAATTTAAATCATAGAGATGTAGTAATATATGGTAGAAGTTAAATATTTAGTCGCTAGCCTTTTTTCATGAGTTACTAAAATAAAATAAAAATACTAAAAAATGTCTGGCTGTTAGTGGCGTAATAGAATTCCCTAAAAATTACGCCATCTAAGCTCGTAGATGTTGTAAGAGTCAATTATGTATGCTAAATGATATCACAATAATTGCAGTGCAGCGTGAAATGTCCAGTATAGCGTTTTCCAATATATGATAACTACACCATAGAAAAAAATTACTTGTTTCTGCCATCAAATAGCAGTGCGTGCGCTGGGGTGTTCTGGTCTGAAAGGGATAGAGCGTTAGTATAATTACGGGCCGTTAGACATTCATAGTCCTTACAGTGACAACGCTTCTGAAGCATTCTTTATTTAAAGCTGGTTGCTGGAGTCCGTGGACTGCAGTAACTATTCACCGTCAGGTGGACTGTAAGTTCGTTTGTCATTTTAATATTACAAAAAAGTCCACTGTGAAGCATTCTTGTGTCGAAGTTAAAACGCACTAATAATAAAACACATTGATCACTTTAGTTCGCAGTGATTTCGCTTTGATGTATTCGCTTGTATCTTCAATTCAACACAGACTCGTTCGCAGTTCTTACCGACCTTGTATAGGCCCGGACCGGTTCCAACTGACCAGGTGTAGAAAGTTTTAGTATGGAATTCTCTAGAAGGATTAGTTCTGCTACTCGACACTAGATTGCGCTAGTGCCATGTACCAAAGACTAATTATGGCGCGCAACAATGTTTTTCAGGGATTTTTTTTAGGTTATTGAAATATCCATCTTACAATCTATCCCCAAAATTATACCACGTAAATTTATGTTTAAAGTCGTAAATAAATGTAGAAAAATTTATTGAATAATTAATTTTACTTACAGCAGACGCGTTGAAGTTAGCTTTAGCACGAATAGTCTCATCACATTCTCCAGGCAACGTAATCATCGATGGAAGCGAATCAAATACTGGATAGTAAAAGCAAGCGCTACTGCTTTGATCGCTATTGTCGTAGTAGCCCTCAAAGAGATCCTTTGTATTTGTAACGACTTCATTAGTAGCGTTGTTAGCCGATTCCGAAAGTCCTGTCTGTGATCGACTTAGTTTCCAACTATATACTAAAATATATAATAATGATTATGATTAAGAAATATGCAAACTTAGCAAGTCTGGTAAATTTCATGAAATAATACTAACTTTGCTTCGTTTGATTGTCAATGTTTCGACAGCTGAACATCAATGCGTAGTTTGTGTAATCGGTGGCCAGGATGTACACAGTTGCATCAACAGAAACTGGAATATCGATATTCAATTAGATACTTAAATCAGATAAAAAATTTCATCAACTAGTTTAAGTACCACGTCACGATTTATAATCCACTAGATTGTAATACGACAGAGACACGAATTATAATTTAAGTGAGCAAGTCTTGTATAAATGTATAGGTTAATTTTCGCGGAGACGGTTCTAATGGTTCTAACGGTCTGGATGAAATTTTGTATTAAATAATATTGGACGTTTCTAGTTTCTAAATAAGTATAATCCTTGAAAAAAATCATATTTTTCATCATTTTATTTTTTTCTAACTCTAAGTAAAGCTCGGTCACCCAGGTACTTACTATACTTTACATAGAAATAAGTAATTTAAGTAGTTTTATTATAATAAACAACTTAAGAACTACTTATAAAATACGAATATCTCATATAAACTCACATAATTATTTTGTTTTCAAAATACAATAAAAACACACATAATATATAACTGTATAAACGTAAAAAGAATTATAACGTAAGTGTCAAATATGGGAAATATCAGAAAGGTATCATGGTTTCCATATTGTTTCGTTCGTATATATAGATCACATTTCATCAGATATAAAATATCAAGATTGATGCGAGAAATAATGCTAAAGATGCGAACTATCTGATTCTGCAATCGCCAAACCATCTGCCAAGCGTGGTGATTCATGCAAATATTTTCTACAATGGGTGAGACCTACATCTAGCTGGACATTGACAGTCCGATGATGATGACGATTTCTATAGAATAAGAGTGATCAATGAGCACACAGTCCACTTGATGGTAAGTGGATGTTGTGGTCCACAGACACATGTCACCCCTGGGGGTTAAAATGAAATACATCAATCAAGTTTGTGCGCGTATCGTAACGACAAATTTATTCTAAATGAATTTATTATAATTTCTAATTAAACAATATAACTTTTCCAAATTTAAAACGATATTTTCACAATTATCTTATTCTGCAGCAGCAACGTGCCCGGTACTAGATAGTAACAAATAAGAAATATTTACCTCCAGCTCCGTTGCTCAGTGTGGCATTTAGAATACCTCTACCATCAGCGGAGACTGTTGCGGTTCCAGTAAGAGTGGTCAGTCTTTCGTTGCTTACAACAGTATGTGAAATATCGTAATCATTTTGTCCGCGGATTGTAAATTGATTGGCAGCACATTGCCCGGCTTGTAGTTCTGATGGGAATCGGGCAGCTTCATACCATGTGCCTGCAAACTGTAAAGAAACATTTTCATAGTGCTACCTTTGTTTGTCTTGTATTTTAACATATCTTCGTCCATTGCACGCAAATAAGACGTGGAAGCATTCCTTGCTCCAAAAAATCACCCAACGCAAATTGAGCTAATATGGGCGTGGCTTACCAATTTCACTGCGAGCGAGTTTAAATACCGTCACATCACAATGCTGATCGATTTACATTGCACCTTATTGCTTATAAAGTCTCTGGCGACTAGTGACGAGCACAATGGCGTCATGTAATAAACGTAGTAAGCGCATTGACTTATATATTACTAGCGTAAGGACCGGGCCGACAGAACAACTAAAACGGACCAGTGCGCTGGCCCTAAAATTACAGTTTAGGGCCAACGCGAATCGGTCGACAGTGGTGCGCGCGCAGGACAGTTTTGTCTGTCATAAATATGTCTAGTTGCGTGGTAAAAGAATGCAAAAATTACGATACAAAGATTTTAAAAAATTTGGGATATCGTATCATCGGTAATAACCTTATATTAATTTTGTTACAATTAAATTATTATATAAACGCATTTTTAAAGTTTTATTTTACTGTTAGTTTAGTTACGTTACCATGGTAAGACCAGGGCTGAATTCAGAATTTTGCGGAAAATAAAATTATACTATTTAAAAAAAATTATATAACGTTTGACGTTTCTTTCCTTTTCGTTATTTTTTTCCATGTGCCCGGATTTTGGCGTCACGCGTCTCGTTCATTTATACGTTTCGTTTTTTGACGGTTTTATTTTTATTTCTGTTTAATTTTTGTCTAAAGAACTTAGTATAAGTTAAATTTTAAATATTGGTGCCTAATATATTTTATATTCAATGAGGGTAAAATGAAAAGAGTACAAAGGAAACGATATCTGCTTAATTGGATCTGAAAATCTAATTCATAAAATATTTTGAAATTCTGTTTTCAAACCGATGGCTTCTGGAGCATCGAGTTTTTATCGTGGTAGCCCCTCATTATGGTTTTATCAAGGATGCAACGTAAGTGCATCGATTGACCAGAAAGGGAGCTTCTTCTATTTTATTAAAACAACGCGGTACTCATGTACAATACCTAAATTCTCGATATCTTAGGGTTAATATTAAAATGTAAAAGGACCCTATAATAATACAAGTCAACCTTTAGGTAAAATTGTAGTATTTTCGTTGGATACTATATACTACAAACTACGAAATAATGGTACAATTAGGATAAATATACTACGAAATCCGACCCTGGATACGTCGTGTTTTGATATGACGTTTGTATTATGACAGATGCGCTACTTTTTCTTGTATGAAAAAGTTATGAGTAAAATATTTAAATGGCCCTATTCTTCTTTTTGAAATCATTGAGTAAGCGTCTTACATATATGATGAATGGCAATTAAGGCTAAAGTCTAAAGTCATCGGAAAATAAGGTTAGATTTTAATTTTTTTATTTAAGACTGTGAAGTAGGAGAAGAAGAACAAAAAAAGGAAATTTTGTTAATATTTTTTTATATAGTGTCTAATGCATTGTTTTAGTGGTTTAAAACCATCTTCACATTATTACCTTTCTAATGAAACCGGTTAGGAGCACATTGGTTGAATGGTTTCAAAGTCTATAACGGACATAAGTAGAAACATTTGTTGTATTTTATATAAACAGATAATGAATGATTTGTTTAACCGACTTCAAAAAGGAGGATGTTCTCAATTCGGGTGTATGTTCTTTAAATGTTTTTAGTATGTATTTTACGGGATATCTGCGCAGATTGTGAACCAATTTTAATAATTATTTTTTAATTTAAATATACTTCACCTCAATGTTGGTGGTTGCGCGGAAAACCATTCGTATTTATTTTATTTGACGGTAGGCTGCCAAATCGGTTATCCCTTTCCAAAACGATATCATTCATACCCTCCTATCGACACATCGGGGTGGTGGGGTGGGAGGGAAAAGAAGATGATTCTAGAACATCACGTAATCATCGGAACCGAGGATATATAAGACACGCGCGACCGACGCGTGGTCTCTTCCCGCCGCGCTCGTCGTTGAAACCACACCGCCTAGGATAATAGTGTCCTAAAGAGCTCTCTTCCCGCCGCGCTCGTCGTTGAAACCACACCGCCTAGGATAATAGTGTCCTAAAGAGCTGTCTTCCCGCCGCGCCCGTTGTTGAAACCCCACCACTAGTAGAAACCGCTTTAGCCTGGAAGCAATCGAGCTCCAGGAAACCCGCCTCACCTCGTGTGAGATATAGTCGCGCACCGCCTCTCTCCGGAGTGTTCCAGAAGAAGTTCCAGAAGTCGCAGTTATAGTGCTCGACCGCATAGAAGAAACATCCCGGTGAGTCAATATCCAATATTATAGCCTGCTTGATATAATTGTTTTAACCCGCTCCAATTTTGTGTTTTCCTAATCAAGCAGGATTCCCTTCATCGATTTGGCAAATAATAGTTCGTTTTTTTAGGGAAGAGCGAGTGCATTGTACCGCATATATAAGTGTAGAAGCATATTGTAGATACAGTCCACTTAGATTAATATCTCGCGTAATAGGTTTAAGGTTCGACCGGGGAATTAGACTTCGGCAACCTTAGACACGTGGCTCCACCATTTTATGGTCACTTCGGCAGGATTTGCACTGGTGTTTAGTGGTCATCCAACCATTTTCTGGTCGAATAATTAGTATTCGTAAATAGTGTAAATAGTGTTTGTTTAAATTTAAATTTTGATTAGGCACTCGCAAACAGAATTGTTTATTTCATAGCGCTCGTATTTGGTTAAATTTAAAGCTTTAAAATTGAAACAGTGTGATAGCAACCGTTTGGTACGCTTACCCGACAATCTTTATAAAAATATTGAGTTTTAGCGAGTAACGCGTCGCCTCGACTGTAGCAGGTGTTCGATTTAATTACGTAATACGGCATACCGAGTGTCCATCGTCCATCGTTGTGCGTTGTGAGATTAATTGTGATTAATAACTTTGTTATAATAATTTAAAATGGCAGTTAGTGGAAATGAATTTAAAATTAAAACGCAACGCTTGGCATAAAGCCAAGAGGGACGTACTTTTTTCACGTATACAAAGCATTAGCGATCACGTCAAGAACATTAATGTAGAAGCGGTGCGGGAAACTTTTCTGAATGAAATTGAAACGGTGGATTCTTTGCGGACGAATTACGAAAGAATATTAGACCAAATTAATCATTTGGAATTACAAATCGACCCGAAATACATAGTGAACTACCAACCGCTGCTGGCATTCGAAGATATGTTGTGTCGCGTGAAAAGAACGGCAAAACTCCTACAATCTCAAAGCGAAGCAAAGCCGGAATTACAGGTACGTCCTCGTGACTCAATTAGGTTGCCGCCAATAGATATTCCGGTATTCAATGGTGATATTAAGACGTGGCCCTTCTTCTTCAGTAGTTTTCAAAACAATATACACTATAACCCATCGTTATCGGACGCTGAAAAATTATATTACTTAATTAGTAAACTTAGTGGCAGGGCACAGTCGATCTGCTCGGGTTTTACACCTACAGCAAACAATTACTTATTAATATTCGAAACGCTTAAAACTAAATATGAAGATAGGAGAATGTTAGCTTCCGAATATTTGAACCAGATATTCGATCCTAAACCTATATCATCCGCGAACATCAACGGCTTAGAGCATTTTCTAGATAAATTTGTGGCATCGGTGGCTGCACTTAAGAATTTAAAATTTAATGACCTTATGGACGTGGTGTTTCTCCATATTGCACTAAAGAAATTAGACCCCGACACCGTGCGTGCGTTTGAAATGGAGCATCGTAGCTCGGAGATGCCTTCCTTTCACTCATTAGCATCGTTCGTGCGAGATCAAATAAAGGTGATGCAGCGCTCTCCGAACGTTAAACAGGAGATTAAAAGGTGCGTCGACCGTAGACAGACTCAACCATCTAAAATAGCAGGGTCGTTAACGTACGTAACCGCTACGTCAACATCACTTCAGCATACTTGTATCGTATGTAAAGATAAACACGGTAATTTATATAATTGTGCGACTTTTCGTAAATATTCACCAAGCGAACGTTATAAATTAGTAAAGACAAACAACCTATGTTTGAACTGCTTAAGCGATAAGCATTTAGTTGCAAAATGCAATTCGAGTTCCGTATGTAGCAAGTGCGCCAGGAAACATCACACGCTATTACATTTTGTAAATAGCAACATAGCGGCGTCAAGTAAAGCGGACAAGGAATTCACCCCTACTAAGGTCAACGATTCTAGCGGTCGACCTGGTGATGTCGCTCTGTGCTCATTGGCAAATATGGGAGCACAACCTCCTTCAACCGTGTTACTGGGTACGGCGCGTATTTTGGTTAGGGATTCGCGTGGGAACGAACAAAGCGTCCGTGCACTGCTGGACAGCGCAGCCCAAAATAGCTTTATAACACGACAATGTTGTCAGCGCTTAGGCTTAGTAATAAATAGGTCACTTTCATGTCCTGTAGTTAAAGGCATCGTAGGTACTAGTAAAGCTACCCAGGAATATATTAATTTAAAATTTTATTCTCGGATAGATCGTAATGTTAACTTTGATATAAATGCACTAGTAGTGGATAGGGTCACTGAACGGTTGCCAACCGTTTCGGTTGACACCTCGGCAATGATTGAATTTAAAAATTTGACTCTAGCGGATGACACTTACGCCGTTCCTGGAAACATAGACATGCTCATTGGAGCATCGCTTTTCCCTCATCTTTTGTTAAACAATAAGGTCAGGGGCAACTCCTCGCATACCGCGCCTTACGCACTAGAAACCGTATTGGACTATGTTATCATTGGCTCCGCCCCCATCATAGATAGTATTTCGGCAACCTCTTATTGTGGTATGGCTGTCGAACCGCTCGAGTCGTTAGTCCGCAAATTTTGGGAGATGGAGGAGGTGAACGTCCCACCCATAGCTAGCTCAGATGACAGGTTATGCGAGGAAATTTACGTCCGCACGACCGTTCG